AATTTGTATGAATTAAACATGTGGACCAAAACTGTCATTTTGCTAATACTCGCAGGACTAAAAATGGTATTTGCTCTTTTTCTTCAAAAGTATTACATTTTTCCTTATAAGTAACAAAATTTGTATTCTTGATTAGTACGGAATATTACATTTGAGTATATAAGTATGACATTTGTGCATAGTCGACCCGACCTGTTTCACGAATAAGGATCCGTGAGTCAGTCTCACACAAGTGTAACCTTAGATTAGTAATGTATTGCCCAAGAAGATTAAAGGAGGGGCCATGTCGTCCCAAAAAAAAAAGGGGGTGAAGAAGTATTGAGCTTAGAAGGAGAAAGGTAGGTATAAACCCACAAAGAGGGCCAATAGGGGCTGAGCCGACCAATGTTAACCAATGTTAATGAGATGCAGCCAATGAGGAGCAAATACCAATTTTGGTCCTACAAGTATTAGCAAAATGACGATTTTGGTCCATATGTTTAATTCTTACCAATTTTCATCCACGATTATTGTTTTAGTACCAATTTTAATCCAGGACTATTATTTTTTTAGATAAAAGGATTAATTCATTAAATCAGAAGTAAGAGCATCAACAAGAAAGATAGGCGGAATGTCAAACCATTCCCCGCAACCTCCACGACTATTATTTTAGTACTAAAATTCATCACGTCGATCACCCATCTATTTAAGACATCCCGAAATCTAAAAATTTTAAGGGCATTTTCGTCCTTTTCAACTTAAGATTCCAATTTGAGCATAAATAAATGAATTTAAGCCCTAAGATCGATCCCAATTCGCAGTTCTCATCCTCATCCTACCTTAATTTGAGTAAGAAAAATGCGAATTGGGATAGATCTTAGGGCTTAAATCTCTTTATTCATGCTCAAATAGGGATCCTAATTTGAAAAGCGCGAAACTACCCTTAATAATTTCATATTTCGGCATGTCTTAAACGAATTGAAGATGTGACCGGTGTGATGAATTTTGACACTAAAACAATAGTTGTGGATGAAAATTGGTACTAAAATAATAGTCGTGGATGGAAATTGGTAAGAATTAAACATGTGGACCAAAACTGTCATTTTGCTAATACTCGTGGGACCAAAATTGCTATTTGCTCGCCAATGAGAGTCAAACTCGTGATATCTTGGATTACTAAATAAGCCACCAACAAGTCAAGCTTCTCACATTTTGTGTACAAAGGTGCAACATGCTATATATATATATATATATATATATATATATATATATATATTCAAATGAAAGATGGTGGCTGCAAAATAGGTGGGGCATAACCGTCCAATAGAAAATTTTCAATTGGATGCATCGTCATCTAATGCAATACTTCACAACAACTGCGATTTTGCATCATGCGTGGTTGGTATGTTGGAATAGAAGTTACTATTGAAAACATGCATGCACTTTACTACGGAAATTTATAATTTCATGATACATAATTTTTTATTCCTTGGAGACCTGGTGCTTTTTAGACGTACTGGATTCTTCACTTCTGAAACTTTTTTCTACGACCTATACGGTGCCATGAAACCGGAGCCAAATCATTATGGCAACTACATAACTTCTCGCCCTCTTGAAAGCGGTAACATTACACTACAATGTATCAACCATATGTTATACATATAACTACAAACATTAATTGCTTTTTCTTTATACATTTTACCAAATACTTGTCAAGGCAAAGTCCGCTTTGCCCCGAGCATATTCATTCTATGTACAAAGAGTTCGTTCTTTGTATACTGATTTCCCCAGACCTTTAGCGGTGAGAAACAATATACATTCACAATTTATACATTCAACTTCAATTTGATCATTTAATACATTTTTATTTATTAATTTCTTCTTACATTATTCTTCTCCCAAATACAGCCCACTGAACCATTGAGCTAAACCCATGTGGGCTCTTCTTACATTATTCTAGCATGCTAGATTGTCTACATACCTTAGAGATTCCAACATTTTCAGTGATACACTCAAACTATTCATTGGAAATCAAAAGCTAGATCTCGACTTTGATACAACCTTCTTCACAGAACAGTGGGAGGAAATTAAATAATATTGCATTTTAAAATTAATGTACCAAATGATGTTGTATTATTCAATATGGAGGACAACGACATACTAATAATGGTTAGTGATCACTGTTATGTTGACTGTTGAGTATATTTATCCTGGGTCAGTTAAGTATTTCATTTCATTCATTCTTCCAAAAGGTTAAATCTCAACTCTAAGGACCCCCTCACACCCCGACAGAGCATTTGGGAATATTTCATTTCATTCATGATAATATGTATGGTGAACATAACTTATTAAATGGTTGATAATGATGTATAGAACATTTTATCTTTTTCCTTATCCGGTCCGTATAGAACATAACTTATTCAATGGTTGATAATGATGTATAGAAGGAAGCGGCTACATAGACGAGAAACCAACATAGTTTACCAGCCAGATGCGGAGTTCTTATAGGAGTTCTACTACATGTACTCCGAAATTCTACTTCCTTAATTTTATTCCATGATATGTCAAAGAAAGATTAGATATTTTCATCATGTGGGTCCGAGGTAATGTGTCTACATCAAGAATTTGTGGGAGAGAATACAAGTTGGGAGTAAGAAATGGGAGTACATGTAGTATTTTTCGTTCTTATAGGCATGCGCCGGCGTTAGCGCCACGATTGGAAAAAGGCTACATCAAAAGAGGCACCGACATGCATCTCTGGACAGTCAGAAGCTTCCCCAACGGGTCTAGAAACTGCTACGACTTCTTAAGTGGTTTTTTTGTTTCTTCTAAAGAAGTGGAAGGGAAGAGGGTGCTGATTCGAGCCGGTTTCTAGTACGGGAATTACGACGGGAAGAATGAGACCCCCAGTTTCGAGTTTCATTTTTAGTTATTTTTAAAAATTTTAAAAAAAAATTACATGTAACTTAACGGGGCGTTTGGTTCGGGTCATATAAGATAACCAATGTTATATTTGCTTGGTAATATAACATTCTCATGTTTGGTTCAAGTTATGCAATTTTCCCCAGGGAATGTAAGATAACCTCCACATAAGGTTTTTAACTATTGCAAGGGAATGTGAGATACCCTCACTTTTCTTAAGTAATTTCACATTCCCCTGTGTTATTGCTAATTTTGTAATTGTAACTTTAGTTAATTATTGTTCAAACTCTTAATTAGTTAATTAATTTTAAATCATTTACTTCTATATTTTACCATTGTCTTATTTATTTATTTGAATTTTAAATTTATTAAAATACATAAAAATAGGTTAAAAGTATTCAAGTAAAAATTATCATCATGCCATAAAAGAATAACTCAATTTTAAACACCCCCCACCCCTGGGGAACTCGACCCCTAGTCATTCTTTCCAAACTTCACCCCTATACTCATGCAAGCACCAAATATACACTATTGTAACAAATGGTTCTAACAGGGCTCGAACCCACAACTTTTGGCTCATAAGACCAACGCTCTAACCAACTGAGCTACAAGACCATTTAAATCTTTTGTTAGTTTAAGGGTCTAATTGCACTTTAGCCTATAGTTGAAGTGTCTATTTGACCTTATTCCCATTAATGTTTAATGTGGATTATGTGCTTACATTTGGTATCAAGAGCCAATTTAATCTTTGTCTGGTTTCTTTTGATTGCATACTAAAAGAATACAAAGCATACAACAATATTGCCGTTATTAAAAGAAAATTCCGTTCATCAATGCAAAGCATACAACAATATTTTCATCAATGCAAAGCATACAACAATATTGGCCAGACGTCCACAATTATTTGTCTGCAATCAAGCCCGAAGCGTGGACATTGTCTCACGATGGTGGTCACCGGTTTTGCATAATGACAACAAATTCATTCGAATCCTTTAATAATTCTCTAAAGGGTTGCCGAATGCTACCGGTAACGGCAATAGCAAGGCTTACTTTCAACAAGTTAAGCACTATGTTTGCCGACAGACGTACCACGAGCCAAAGAATGCAAGATGCGGGTTTGCGCTGACCAAGGATTATTTCCAACGAGCTACAAAGTAGAGAACAACCGGCGTACAATGCAACCATTCAAAGATTTAATGACGCGACTAGATTGTACGACGTTTCTCCTGATACAGGAAACATCTCCCAAGGTTCAGAAACATATGTCCAAGTTCACTTGCTCAACCATACATGTAAATGCGGAAAGTGGAAGAGCGACAGATTACCATGTGCACATGTCATTGCAGTGTGTAAGTACCGAAGAGAACTCTATGACTTGTTCGTGGCTAAAGAGTACTCTATCGATAACTACAAAATATGTTATGAAGCTGATTTCTTTCCACTAGACACGACTACACGAATATCCAGTGGACAACTCCTTTCACATTTCTTCTACCACTTTCTGCAAGGCGTCCAATTCATCGAGGACAACGAGAAACACGTCAATTTTAAATGAATTGGACTTTAGAACTTCTACTAGGAGGAGATGTAATTACTTTCAAGCTCGAACATATACTTCCACACAATATCCAACTTTGTATAACCATTAGAAACTAACATTGTATACATTATTCTTTAAACAATACGTCAATTTTTTAACATATTCTACAAAAATGTAATCGCATTTTATATTAAATAAATTTTACATTTCAACTTTCTTAACATTAATATCAAAAAAAAAAAAAAACATTAGTATAAAAAAACACGAATATGGAATCAAATAATTGAGAATGTTTTCCAATCGCCCCTCCTTGTTATTTCGTTATTTCGTTATTTCGGACGGTCTTCTCTCATACTCTTGTCTTCTCTTCTCTCATCTCTCATGGCGGAATGAAAGGCGGAACAGCAAATCTGGGGCGAGAACCAGCAGATCTCCGCTCAGATCCTTCTCACCACTCTTGTCGCGGGCCTTCTCCTATTCCCAATTCTACGCTCAGATCCTCCACCACTCTATCGGAAGATCGTCGGAGCTCCATTGCTTTCAACGCGTACAGGTCTCTCTCTCTCTCTTTGCGGCTACTGGTTTTACTACAGCTTCTCCTCACCCAACGCCTATTATGCTTTCCATTAATTAGTCTATTTTGTGACTCTTATTTCTTTTTTTAGTGCTGTCTATGCTTATTAATTTTTTCTAGTGCTGTCTGTGGAAATGACGAGGATGAGAGGGATTGTGGTGATGTTCAGTAACTATTCACCCAATTATTTCTTTTTTTAGTGCTGTTTGTGCTGTGTATTAGATCATTCCTTCATGTATTTTCCCAGATGCTTTTCTTGTATATGGGTAGGGAAGAAGTTGACTGTGACTCTAGAGTCTAGATGCATCCAACTTTGGATGTTATTTGCAGCTTAGGGATTGACTATCAGTAGGGAGCTTGAGAATATACATCTTATAGTTTGTTGGAGCTTATTCTGAATTCTATTTTGCAATTCAAAATGTGGGCTTATTTTGTGAAGAGTATCTAGCTTTGTTCTCTCTGTGGTAGTTAAACCTTTGCTGCTTACACTAGTAGCTGAGCATTTTTCCTCATGCTAAATATGGCAAATTCACATTGTACCACGAGTGATACAATGTCATAACTCTATAATTGGCATATGCATGAAGTACTAAAAAACTATGAGAGTTGCTGTGTACTATTTGTATGTCAATAATGTCATAACTCTATAGACTATAATTGATCCACATTCTTTCGAAATTCCTTTGGGATTGTAAAATTATTGCTGTTTCATATCAATGTTTGTTAACTGGTATTTTTGCGCTTAGATTTTGCTTCTGATGGAAATTCTACTTAATATGGTATCAATTTATTTTCATATAGATCTAGGATAGCATTCTGTACTTCATATTGAAGGTTAATTTTGTTTAGCTGAATAAAATGTTACGTTAATACCTTGTGGTTTGATTTGTACTCCGATTATTCTAAGCTTTGGAATGGAAACCTAGTTTATTAGGTAAAGTGCTGCATGTCATCCATGCTCATTGATGTTGATTTTAATGAAAATTTTTAAAATAAAATTCGTCCTAACCTCATATTCCACACTTGAGGCCTGCTGAATACAAGAGGTCTAGATTATCTAGGAACATGAGAACTGTGAACCGTGCTTAAGGTGGAGTATTATCAGGCAGTGCTGTGCGGAAAAGGTAAGTTGTCTATATTTGGCATACTTTCTAGATTTTTTTATTTTTACTTTGAGTGTGCAATTATGCAAAGATTTCACTAGAATGATGATTCAATCTACTATATTGTATTAGATTTGTAGGATTATCAGAGCATTATTGGTGGAAGAGCAAAAGATTGTGAAGAAGGTGCTGAAGATTCAGAAAGCCAAGGAAAAGCAAGCTGGCAAGAGCTGAAGATATAGCCTGAGTCAGGTGTAGTTTTGGATACAGTGCTGAAATGAATCATGAAAATGTATTTTTTGATAATCAAGAAGGGGGATATTTTGTTCTATAATCAGGTTTCAGGAACTTTGTTCTATTTTGATAAAAGTTGTTGGCCTGGAGTAATATTTGTTTTTAGCCCAACTGTACTGCTGCATCTTTGAATCTGTTTGTTTTTTTGTTTGTTTGTTTGTTTTTTTTTTGGGGGGGTATCGGCGACCGTTCTGAACAAAGAACGGTCACTGATAATCAAGGAAAAAAAAAAGAATCCGCCACTCTTCTTTGAGAAGAACGGTGGCGGATGCTCAACTTTCCGCGACTGTTGTACAACAGTTGCGAAATGTCATTTACAACAGTGACGGATGTGCAGATCTGTACTAGTGGTGATGAGCGAACTAAAGCCCGTGATCTTGAATGAGTTTTCTGTTTCCCGTGATCTCTTGCTGATGAGTCACTTGCAGGATAATGTACAGCATATGGACATTTCCACACATACTTTTTAATAGAGCTATGGCTCTGGTCTATGTGCATTCAGGGTTGGACTTATTTTCGAGGGGCATAGTTGTCTGTCTGAGCTTTATTCTGCTGACAGGGTAAAAGATTTGCTTGCGCAAGGTGTCTCTCAACGCCAATATCATGAAAAGACACCAGAACAGGTATGACCTTTTATTGACACAGATGATTTATATTGACTCTATATTTTGGCATATCACATATGGTCCATAATTTACAGCTATAGAATCTTAAATTTCATTGTAAAGGGGAGGGGTGTGGCAGAGTTGTGATGGACTTTTCTTTTATTTCTTAGAGCATGTCTTGTGTGCGTGTTGCATATAAATGGGTGCTGCTGTTACATTTATTTCTTAGAGTGTAGGGTGTTTTTTTTTTTCATGAGATAATATTATATTTTGATGACTCTATTTGATAAACTTTGGAGCCCAGTTTCCCCAATTATTCTGCATTGTTTTCTATTTTCTCTTATAGTACCGATTGCATCTTAAGTTATACTTCCACATTAGTGCAGAAGTGTTTTTCACATTCTTTTACTGCTTACATCATTATATTTGCATTATACTTTTTGATTCAAGTCATGTTTTGATATTATCAGGAGAGAATGGAAAGGAGGCGTCAAATGCCATATCATATGCACATAAATCTTGAGCTGCTCGAATCTGTCCATCTTATATGTGCAATGCTGTTGGAAGTTCCAAACATGGCAGCCAATAGCCATGACGGAAAGCGCAAAGTCATAAGCAAGACTTTCCGGAGACTGCTAGAGATGAGCGAAAGGCAAACATTCACTGAGCCTCCTGAAAATGTTAGGGACCATATAATGGCAGCTACAAGAGCCCTGCGCCAGGGAGATTTCAAAAAGGCCTTTGACATCATTAACTCCCTTGACATTTGGAGGCTGCTTCGGAATAAAGACAATGTTCTTGAAATGGTTAGGGCGAAAATCAAGGAAGAGGCTTTGAGGACTTATCTTTTCACTTAGGGTCCGTTTGGAAAGCAGGAAAATGACTTCTGGAAAATGTTTTTCGGAAAATGAGTCATTTTCCGGAAAACATTTTCCTTTCCAGTGTTTGGTTGCATTATGGAAAACTGTTTTTCTGTGTTTGGTTCATTTTCTGGAAAATGAGTAGAATTGTATAATTAAATATTTTAATTATTTTATTTAGAATATTACAACATGTATAATAATATATAATAATATAATATTAATTTTAAATATAATAAAAATAGCTAAGTTTTTCAAAAAAAAAAAAACTAATAATATATCAAAAATATTATGGTGGTGGTGGTGGTGTAGTGGTAGTAGTGTTATTCGTTATATAATAATAATAATAATAATAATAATAATAATAATAATAATAATAATTGGTGGTGATATGACGGTGGTGGTGTGGTGGCGGTGGTATGGTGTGGTGGCGACGGTGGTGGTTGCGGTGGTATGGTCGTGGTGGTGGTGGCGGCGGCGGTGTGATGGCGGCGACGGTGGTTGCGGTGGTATGGTGGTGGCAGCGGCGACGGTGGTTGTTGTGGTATGGTGGAGGTGGCGGCGGCGGTGGTGTGAATGTGGTGGTGTGGTGGCGGTGGTATGTGGTGGTGGTGGCGGTGGTATGGTGGTGGTGGTGGTGGCAGCGGTGTTGGTGGTGGTGGTAGTGGTTGCGGTGTTGGTGGTGGTAGTGGTGGTGTGATAGTAGCGAGGGTGGCGGCGGCAATAGTGGTGGTGATGGTGGTATGGTGTTGATGATGTTGGTGGTGGTGTGATGTTGGTGTAAAAGTTGGAAAATGACTTCCCCCCAAAAAAAGGGGAAGTCATTTTCCTCCAAAACAAGCCTATTTTCCAAAGTCAACGGAAAATGATTTCCGTTGACTTGATTTTCCAGGCACATCCAAACACTGGAAACTTGGAAAATGATTTCCAGAACTCATTTTCCAGGTTTCCAAACACACCCTTACTCTTCCTCTTATAACTCTCTTAGCCTGGATCTGCTTGCCAAGATGTTTGAACTTTCTGATTCCCAAACTCATGATCACTGACGAGCTTCATGCAAGCTGGGATCAACCGACTCGGTGTGTGGTCTTCCATGATGTTGAACATACAAGACTACAGGCTTTGGCATTCCAGCTGACAGAGAAGCTAGCAATTCTCGCAGAAAGTAATGACAGAGCAGTCGAGGCAAAGATTGGCGGTGGATTGGATGGCCCTCCCTTGAGACGCAAGGATGGCCAAGATTATGCTGCAGCTGCTGGTGGTGGTACTGGGGGAAAGTTGCCGGAGTTCTTTTGGCAAGGCAGGCAAGGAAGCACCAGAGGTGGCGGCTATAATAGAGCTTCGGGATCGATCCAACCAGGCACGTGGTGCTGGGGGTTATTCAAGTGGCAGTCAAGGATCACGGTACCATTCTGGGTCCGCAGCCAGGGGAAACCAAGGGGATGCATCGGCTCAAATGGTTAGTCTTAACGGGGAGTATGAGCGTAGAGAAAACTCAATTTTGCACCTTGGGAGGAACCCGAATCAGAAAGTTTGGTTTTGTTCCATCAACTAACAGTAGTATCTCACTTAAATGCTTTGCTATTTAAATAATTTTAGACTTGGTTTACATATCCTTTCTATGTGCATTCAAATCATAATCCCCTTTTCTTTTTGCAATTTGTGCCCATTGATTTACAGTCGATTCTTTCAGACATACCTTTTGCGGTCTGCATTCAAAATTGCTCATTGTTGGCTTCAATTTCCTCTTTTATGTACACACTAAACCATGAAAGCTAAGAGAGGGAAATTGCGAACAGGGAAAATTATGCATTATATGTATTTTTCTGATAATTATTTTGACAGATGATCGTATAATAGCGTGAGTTCCATTTGAGAGTAGCTCTCAATCGGACTCCATTGGAGAAAAACTCTTCCAATTGTAACCATAATTTTCGTGAGTTCCATTTGAGAGTAGCTCTCAATCGGACTCCATTGGAGAAAAACTCTTCCAATTGTAACCATAATTTTCATGAAACAAGTGAACGAAAGCAGGTGGTCTCAACACTTCACCATGCAGGGTGATTAGAGACCTAACATCACTTTAACATCACTTCTTGTATTGTGGTCCACACAGTTGTGTGGACCACGGTCCAAAAATGACATGACGTCGTGTCACGTAATATTGTTTTTTCATGCAACTCACTGTAACATACATTTTTATAATTCATAATTTACATTATTCTAAAATACAAAGTACATTATTTTACTCAAAAATTTCATTATTCTAACACATAAAGTACATTATTCTAACTCATAAAATTCAGCGACGTCGTTTGAACCACACAATAATTTGACCGCAACAGTATCAAGGAAATTACTCTTCATGACCAGTAAACACATGTTCAAATAACTAGCTTAGATATGCAATGAATTATTTCCATAACTATCCCGTAGGAATATCTATCTATAGTTATATAATGTATTTAGTATGGGAAGCCTTGAAATTTGAGACATGCATGTTTACTTGGTGGGCAATGGTGAATGCATACATTATCTTGAGACTTGTACATACACCACCTTTGGCAAGATATTCATCAAAACTAACTTTAAAAAAAGTTAAACAAATCCAGAAAAATTTACAAACTATAATTGCAAACAAGAAGAAAACTCTAGGTCAAATTTTGTATAGCCATTAAAATTGGAGGTCAAAACACAAAATAACGTATACCATCCAAAACTAGCTAGTTTTTAGCAAACAGGAGCATTCAACAAACTCTCAAAATCTCTTATTATCTGCATAGCGTCGTCGAATTCAACAGTCTTTTCCATATTCTCCAATGAGATTCTGGCAGCTTCTCTCTGGATTTTCAGATCGGCCTCTGCCCTCATCCGTAGAAGTGTTTGGGCAGCTTTAATTTCTTCTTCAATCCTGGCTTTCTCTGCAATCTCCCGCCTCTCTCTTTCTTGTTGTTGTTTCAGTGGGTCAGCATTATTATCTCCCTGATTCATGGCCGCGAGATGAAGATTTGCTTTGAAAATAAGATGTGCGTAACGTTCCTTCATCTGGGCAGCACGTAGAGCATGAGTTGGAGAAAGTGGAGCTCCAACAGTAAGTGAAGTAGTACTGCAACTTTCTTTATCAATTGCGGCAGTGGTGGCACATGACGATGAATGATCAAACCTACGACTTTCCTTTTCGCTGTGCAATGGCGGCGGCGTTTTCATCTGACAATCCCTTCCACCTCTTAGATTTCGCAGACAACCTTGTTCCGAAGTTTCACGACTCTTAGGTTTGTTTTGGCGATCCCACCCACTTCCGTGAATGGTGGCAGTCGATGATGAAGAAGAATGATGAGAAGATCGGTGAGCAGCAAGAAGGGTGGCAGTCGGTGATGAAGAAGAATGATTTCGCAGACAACCTTGATGACTCGTCTTAGGTTAGTTTTCAACAATCGTCGTCGGCGCCGGGAGAACCCTCTCGCAATCTTGCGTTAAACCCACACTTTTCCGCCGCTTCTTAATTTCTTTTCCGTTGAAATCATCAGAACATGCACGCTTCTTGGATTCAAGCTTGTTGTCTGTGATGAGTAGATTCCTCGTGATCTTTAAACCCTTTTCCCGATCATCTCCTTTCCTTTTGTTGACTGAAATTCTCATCTTTAGCGTCGTCATTATATTGCTCCGAAATCCAAAGAGAGTACAGTGACGAGCGATTATGGAAACCTAGTGAGTGGGTGGAAGAACGTACGGGAAGCTGAGATAACGCTTTCGAAATTAAGAAATTATGAATCTTAAATTGGGAAACCTAGAACTGAAGAAAGCTAGTCGCGATATGATAATAAAGAGCGGGATCGAAACTACTGAGATGAGATCAGAGAGTGCGCGCTTTCCTTACAACCGTTAGTTCTTGATTCTTGATTAGGTCATCTTTCATATGCAACTGCAAGATTTAATTTTAAATATTACTTCTCTCCCAAGTTTAGTTTAAATAAATTATTAAATAACCCTCAACATAAATTATTTCATTTCATTTTTTTAAAATAAAATTTTGATTAATTTGAAAAATATTGTTATTATTTCAGTAATATTAAGATTTTTTTAAAATAATTAATAAATAAGAGGAGTTGATTTAAGTTTAATTAAAACTAGTAATTCACCCGCACGATGCACGTGGAAAAAATTATGTTATTATAATCTCTAATTATGTACATATTCAAATAAACTTATAGAGATAATTTACATAATTACATTGATTTATTCTTAATTGTATTTCATCTATATTATAATTTTCACAATACGAATAATAACTACGATAATTACATTTAGAAAGCAAATTTCAAATTTTGTATGAGTAAATTTAAACTCTAATTGAACACATTTTTTATATGATTATATATATTCTTTTTGCACATGTCATTCCATAAACCCAAATGTCATTCTAAGTCCAAGACCACTTTTTGTGGAGATAATTCAAATGTATTTTTTTTCTTTTAAAAGTCCTAAGTTTAGAAATCCAGAAAAATATTAAAGACCCATACATATATACATTTATATATGTTTAAATTTTTATTTATGGCTCAAATGATTTTTTTTTTTTTTTAATTCTGAAGTCCAATAATTGACCCACGACCCGTAGCATTTGCTTTCTTCATCCCTTCTCGCTTCTGCCATTCCTTTGAAGCATTTGAGAGAGAGAAAAATTATATGTAGCGGCTTGTATTAATTGCACTGTTTCAGATATCGAATAGGCTTTCATCGAAAATTTAATTAATATTGTAATCCCAAGAAGCACCGTAAATAACAAAAGCATATCAAATAGACTTTCATTGTAAAGCCAGAGATTTAATTAATATTGCATTGTTTCATATTTTCTATTAATCGGGAATCGGAATCCTTAATCCTAATATCATAACATTTAATAACTCCATTAATTCAATAAATGTAATCCTTTGTTATGTGCGAGAAAAAAATAGCTATTTTATTTTTCAAATGTTGTGCTTTTTTTTTTTTTAATAGTAAAGGATGGTGTGGCTATTTTATATTTATAGCTAGTAATAATAATAATGTTTGTAATTAATTGTAACATTAATTCCTTTCCAAACCATATAGTTTTATTATAGTTAAGATGATTTGAAAAGCTCTTAACAATAACAATATTTACTAAATATCAAACCTTTTATTATATATATAAATTTTTGAAAATGAATAATTAGGGGGCAAAATATTCATATAATTTAACACATTTTTATGAACCAAATTAATTTCCATCAGAAAGGCGTTTAAGATGAGAAACCTTTCCTTACCTGAAACAGCAGAGGATTTGCAACTTTGTTGCGAGACCCCATTGACAGTCTCGACGGTGGCCGGAGTAAGAGAAACATTGATCGAGTTCAAACCGGTTGGACCAGAGGCCATGCACGGCTAAACCGAGACCTCTGTTCGCCGGACGGCGACTCGATCATCAATCTGAGTAGCGAAAGCTGGTCTCCAAACCTTCGGATCATCCATGGAGCGCCTGAGACACCGTACCGGCAACACCATCTGATCTTCTGGCTGTTGGACTCCGTCTTCGCTGCTTTCGTTGCGCCATCTCCTCCTCCACTTCTCCCCTCTTGCCCTCTCTATCTCCGCCCTCTAGGCTCAAGAAATGAAATCCCCAATTTTCTCATTTCCTTGCTCTTTAGTCAAACATAGACTCAAAACACCAAAATTAAACAATATATGTATACATAAATTACATGGAGCCGGGACTATCTGGTCCAATGGTATCCGGGTTGGACTTCCATTTGAAAGGTTGTGAGTTCGAGCCTCAGTGGAGGCGTTATTAGCTCTTTGTGTTTCAGTAGGTTGAGAAAGTATATGAACAGATACTACAATGTAATAGAGCTAGTAGCATTCAAAAAAAAATAAATAAAAAAAAATTACATGGAGCCGGAGGAATGTATACCTACAAATATGTACATTATAAACACAAAATGGTAATTTTAATCCATTAATTATAAATATATTGTAGACTCACTTCGTGAATTATTATCATATACAAAATTTTCACTATAATTGTGTGTAAAGTGATAGTTTTAATCTACCACTAACAAATTCTATTAAAAATAATGTTGTACATTGAATTTTTAAATTAATGAATGACATATTTGTCATTTTATAGAGTTTTCTTAAATTTCTCCAACTAAACCTTTCATATATACCGATTTTCTTTATTCGTAATATATAAAAAATTGTTAGTTTAATAAGATTTATAAATATGTATATGCTTGTTTTCATTTCAATGTTAAATGTCAATATGTTGGTTAAAGAATGAATTGAATTTATATTTCTAAATAATCATTCTAGGGTGATATTTATTTCATCTGTTGTATATTTCTACTACGATAGTGCAATATATAACGTAGTTAGTATGTTGGCTTATTGGTAATGTTTTTATGTCATATAAAGATTCTTGAGGAACATTTAAGCAAAATGGATGCTCAAATAACTAACATTGATTTGTAAATTATAATATGAAGAAGTCAAATTCGGACTCCTTTGCTGATTACAGGCCTATTTGCCTGTGCACTTTCATCAGTAAAGTTTTCCCAAGGGTAATCTCTTCTAGACTGGCTATCATCCTTCCGAATTTGATTTCCAAAGAGCAAGCAAGTTTTGTGCAAGGCCGCAATATTCAGGATAACATCTTATTGGCCTTGGAATTAATGCAATATCTTGACAAGAAATGTCGGGGTTTAAATGTTGTTGTTAAGTTGGATATGATGAAGGCTTTCGACAGGGTATCCTGGCCTTTTTTGCAAGCTGTTTTATTTAAACTGGGCTTCCCGGCAATGTTTGTGAATGTGGTGATGCGTAATCTGGAAGCAACGAGGCTATCGGTTTTGGTTAATGGGGTGAGTTGTGGATTCTTTCAACCGACTAGAGGCGTCAAGCAAGGCGACCCGCTATCTCCTCTCTTATTTATTCTGGCATCGGAGGCTCTATCGCGCTCCCTAATTTTAAAGATGGGAGTAGGGTTGTTGTCTCCTTATGCCACGCACCCAGACTGCCCTTTAATCACCCACCTTGCTTTTGCTGACGACATAGTCATTTTTGTCAATGGCTCATCGGCCTCCCTAAAGGCCCTTGCAAATGTTCTTGATCTTTATCAACAAGGATCAGGACAAAAAATTAATTTCCATAAGAGCTTTTTTGTTACTTCCAGGATATGCCCAACTGCTAGGGCCAATAATATGTCGAGAATTCTGGGAATGCAACAATCCTCATTGCTGTTCCGGTATCTTGGTGTCAGCCTTTTTAAAGGAAGGAATCGACCTCTCTATTATCAACATCTCCTTGAAAAGGTCGACACGCGTCTCCAGAGCTGGCAGAGAAAGCTGTTATCGCCGGGAGGCCGGCTAATTTTGATTCGTCATATTTTGTCTTCAATCCCGTTGTTTACTATTGCGTCGGTTCTCTTGCCTAGACAGACAGAACGCTCTCTTGAAACAAAATTTGCAAATTTCTTATGGGGAGTGGACAATGGTAAGCCAAAGCGGCACTGGGCTTCCTGGAGGAAGCTATGTTATCCCGAGGATGAGGGGGGCCTAGGAATTCGTTCAATTGACACAATCCAGAAGGCTGCCTCCGCGAAGCTGTTGTTCAATTTGCTTCGAGGGGGATCTTTGTGGTGTGATTTTTTGGAGTCCTTGTACCTTAATCGTCCTAGTTTGGCTCCCTCACTCACTTGGAAGAGGATGCAGCAGGCACATGACTTTGTGGATATTAACGTTGTTTACAAAGGTGATTTGGTGGTCTGGTCGCTGGCTCCTTATGGTGATTTTACTACTGCATCGGCATATGAAGCCCTCAGGCCGAAGGCAGGCAGAAGCTTATGGCGCGCTGCATTTGGGGAGACGGGGTGCCCTCAAAAATCTCAATCTTCATGTGGCGGCTCCTACGCCAATTTTTGCCTTTCCCAGATGTCATTCAAAATTTTAGTGTCTGCCTTCCTTCCATCTGTCCTCTTTGTTCAAATGCCTCAGCGGATCTTAGTCACTGTTTGCTCGCCTGCCCAGTTGCCCAGCAGGTTTGGAGTCACTTTCGCAATCTTTTTGGTTTGGCGAATCCTACTGCTGATTCAATAAGAGTTGAATGTCATTCTTGGTGGCTGTTCGCGGTTCCGGGATCGGCGACGGCTTGGTGCGCAAACTTAATACCGAGCCTTGCACTATGGACCTTATGGTGCTCTTACAACCAGGGCCTTCATGATGGCCGAGCTCTACCTGCAGTAGAAATCGTTAGGCGTGTTAAACGCGACTTGCTGGTTATCTCCACCACCCGTAAGCTTAAGCAATCAAGTTCGAGCGACGATCCTCTTCTGGTGATGGGTCTGGTGGCGCGTTTTACGCCTCCGCCGAGACTGCTTTCGATATGGGTTAAATGGTTGACCCCGCCTGCCGGCCGATTGAAGCTTAACACTGATGCGGCTTTCACGACGAATGCTTCTACCGGTGGGGCGTGCTTACGAGACTCTCGGGGCATTCTTCAAATTGGCTTATGCTTCCGCCTTGACGCTGCCTCGGCTTTGGAAGCTGAGACTGTCTCGCTGCGTTTAGCTTTGCAATGGTGTGAGGCGTTTGCTATATACCCGTTCATGGTTGAAGTGGACTCGCTGGCCCTCGCCACTT